ATGGAAGGACGGTTAGAAGAGTAAAATGATTTCCATGACATGTAGGGCTCTATTAGGCCTTGCAGAGACTAAATAAGAAAACAATCCCTGCCCACTAAAGGTTGTGTTAGTAATAATACAAAATGAGATCAACCCATGACAAGAACAGATGAACACAAAGTGATTCCAGAAGAAAATAAAAGTAGGTGATCCCCAAGCAAAAAGAAAACAGACAAAAGCCTGATGGTGTTACGGCAATAGCCACAAACATTGAGATGACTGATGTGAGGAGGTTGAGTAACCTTCTGCGCAGGAGGAAGTGTCATGGCACCTGGTTTGTGGCCATTAGGACAGATAGAATGTCACACTCTGACACCTGCTAATCTGCCCCAGCCCCAGCCAGTAGCTGAAGCACACAGGCAGAGAGGTGGAGAGCTGGATGACCAGGAGCCAGAAACCCCGGTGAGGACATCAACATCAGGACCTCTCTGGAGCTGTGTCAGAGCTTGGGTGATGGGGCAATCCCAAGCAAGACCCCACAGCCATGGCCGCATGCAGCCTGCTGTGCTCACCTAACACAGCACAGGCCCACAGAGCCACACCACCACTCCCTGCGCAGTGAGAAGGGTCCACGCTGGCCACTGACCAACCCCTGCTGGCTCTCAAGGGGACTCAGATGCCCTCAACCTCCTCTCCATTGCTCAAATCTTCCATGAACCCTTGCAGTCAGAAGGTCACAAAAGGGTTACTCGAGGATGCAATATCCCATTTCAAACCCCCATCAACAGGAGGGAGAGACTCCCCCGTGCCTTGCTGAGACTTCACTTACACCCAACAATGCACACTGTAGGAAAAGATTGTGTCTATCACCGGTCCTGAGAATCCCCTGAAGCCAGTGTCTTCCCTTTGCTCTCCCTGAAGCTCCTGGGGCTGGGAAAAGCTACCCCTATCTCACATGCAGCACCTGTACCACTTGGAGATGGTCGTTCAGGTCCTGAGGACTGGCTGAGTTGTCTGTCGCCCAGCACCCATCTGCCTGAAAAGACAGCCCAGAATGCTGGCTGCACTCAGCATGCGGACCCTGCAGCCCCAGCCCTGGGCACACTCCCAGACCACCAGGGCCACACTGCCAAGTGTAGGTGAGCACGACCCCAGTGCCTGATTGCAGCACAAGGCACGAGTGCGTACACGTGAAGCACATACTATGGGGAGCAGTGTCTGGGGCAGAGAGGAAGAAAGAAAGAAGATTCCTGATTCTGGACAGAAGGGCCACGTGGAGTTAGATCAAAGAGGCAGCAACATCCTCCTCCCCACTCAACGTGGACCCGGAAGTGGGGGTCGGAATGTGGGAGCACAAGAACCAACAGGCACTGAGGGCTTCCCTCTGCTAAGAGCTATGCCAGGGGCTTCGGATGTGAATCCTGATTCAGACCTCATTCACTCTTTCCACTCCTATTTGCTGTGTGTCTACTGTGTGCCCAGCCCTGTGTGTGAAGCTGAGCACAGAGCAGCGGATGAGGCTGGCAGGGCCCCGGCTGCGTGGAGCTTTCAGGCTAGTGAAGGAGACCCAGCCCATCTATTGCACATGAGTTGTTACACTCATGAGTTGTAATACATGCTGCAAGTGGGGAGTCCAGTGCCTTGGGAACAGGTGACAGAGGAACCACACGCAGGCTGAGGCCTTTCCAAAGAGGGGACAGTCATACAAGCTCTGAAATGTACATGAAAATTACCCATGCAAAAGGAGGGCATCTCCAGCAGGACGGCAGCATGGGTGAACCCCCTCCCGCGGAGGCACAGGGGAGAGACAGAAATGAGGGCCAGAGCGACAGAGGCCAGTGGAGAGAGGGGGTACAGTGAAGGGTCATGAAGGATCCTGGATACAAGAACAGAACTTGGGCCTTGATCCTGGGGACCCAGAGGGTGACAAGGGGGCTGAGACAGTGCTGATACTTCACAACCACATCCATGTGTTCTGTGCAGGGGTCTCAAGGAGCAGAGCCCACAGCAGCAGTGTCACCCGGGAACCCGGAAATGCAGATTTTCCACCCCACCCCAGGGCTGCGGAATCACACATCCTGGGGGTGGGAACCAGCTACTGTGCAGCACCAAATTTACAAGAGGAGCTTGTCTTAGCTAAAATATTTACCTCTGTGCAAAATCAAGAGAAGTGGGCCAGACCTCATTTACATTGCTCACTCTCTCAGGTGCCCCAGCTTCCTCCTCCTTCTGAAAAGGCTTCCCAGCATCCCAGCACAGGCTCCCAAGCCCCCACTCCCTCCCCTCCCAAACACATTCGCTTCCTTTTCCTCGTGTTCTTGGTAATCATTGAATTTGCCCTGGCATTTCTGACACAAATTAGATGATGGTTAATACGGCAAGGCTTTAAGAGAAAACCTGAAAGTTCTGAGGAATGCCATGGAAATGAAAGAGAACCATGAAAAAATATGACATTTGGGCAAAGTTCAAAATGACCAGGCACGCTCAGCCTTGAGTGAATGTCACTGTGGGGAGCTGCGGTGACAGTTTTCTAATACACAAGGAACGCACGTAGGAGAAACGGATCCATTTTTCCACTCATCAGCAAGAGCAGAAGGAGAAGGACCATCTTAGGTTTCAGCAGGGAAAACATATGTCATGTGTTTGAGCCATAGGAGAGGAGGAGCTGCCAAGAGGGCCGGTGAGATCATCCTCGCCAGAGACGCTGGAGATGAGATCACAGCGGCCCGGGTCGCCGTCCGGCAGGGTGCCTGGACCACACGGGGTCTGGGCCCTGCTCGGCTCTGTGCAGGGTCTTCCCACTGCCTGACAATGCCATCGCCTGGCAAGGTCTGGATGGGCAGGGCAGATACTAATTCCAGGTTACTATGGTTTGCTTCAGACACCCGGGAATTCAAAGGACGCTATGCATTTCTGCAAAACACTGCATATTGCCTTGTTACTTGGAGGCCACGATACCAGGTATTTGTTTCATGGGAATGCCCATGTCTTCCTTTCCTTTAGCCAACTCCTGTCCTCCCAGTAATAGCAGCAGCAGCAGCAGCAGCAGCAGCATCAACAACAACCGTCCCACAAATAGCAGCCACGAGCTATGGAGCATTGCACTGGGCCAGCGCTGCACACACGCCCTTCACTCACGCCTCACCACCATCCTAAGACCCATTTCACAGATGAAGAAACTGAGCCCTAGGGAGTGCTATGGCCTGTTCACAGCCCCACTGCTGGTCATGGGCAGGATGAGACTTGAGCCCAGGGCTTTCCTGCCCGTGATCATGATCACGTCTCTGTGTTGCCAGGAATGAAGTCTGCACATCAGACAACCAATAAGGGAACTGATGTGAATGTGGCCCCCAAGACCCTCCTGGGCCTGGCAGGGGCTGGCCCATGATAATATCCAGTAGAAAGGAGAACATGAACCTTTTAGGAATCACTCACTCTGGCTCCTCTCCCTGAGACACCACCCCCACCCTGCTCTAGATCTGGTGATATTTAAAACCAAAGCCCTCCTGGAAGGCTCCCACCTCCGCCTGGTCTGGTCTGCGCCACCCCACGCCTTGTCCCACGCAACCCCACTGTGGACCTCAATGAGCCTGCAGGGCTGCTGGCGGCGTGGACGTTCTTCACACATCATCACCCCATCAAAACCAACAAGAGCGGGGTTTCCCAGCAGCCTGCCTGGCCACTGTCCACCATGAGGTTTTTATATGCACCCAGCACTCTCCTCAGAGGGCCCCTGAGTCAAGACGGTCTGCAATTAGAGGGGATATTGTGCAGAGACTGCTATCACGGCTTCAGCTAACCCTGCATCTGATGTTTAACCAATCTTCCCTTCCACGCAATCCTAGGCTCGTCTGGCTTTTCTATTTTTGCCTCTCTCTGGAGTCCTGAGGATGGCTGAAATGGCTTCGACTGCAGACCTGAGGAACCAGTTTTCCTCCGCACTCTGTTGCTGTCTGTGCTGATGCCTTTGCAAGGCTCTCTGGGGCCCCATTCCATTTCAGACGGTTCAGCCAAGGGTCCTGAGCCCCTCCTGACATGGGACTTCAGACCTGAACACCCACCTGGCCCCACTGAAAGAACCACCACAAAACAAGCACAGGAACTGGGGTGCACGGGCGGGCGCGAGGCCAGGCTGAGTACGCATGCTGATGGCCACAGCTGTGCCCCTCACAGGAAGCACCGTAAGGGGAAGCCTGGGTCAGGGCAGGCCATCTGTGAAGCGTGGCCGACACCGAAGCAAGTAAAGGGCTTTCCTGCTATTCAGACGACTCCGGGCTGATGTCAGGCCTGGAGTCAAGTGAATGAAATTTATTCCTTCTTGATGGAAAAGTTGGACTCAAGCCCCAGATGTATATTCCTGGGGAGACTTAATTTTTCTTCCAGCCTCACCAAGCTCAGTGGAGCTTAAAGCAGGCTTTTCCTTCATGCAAAGAGACAGAGAAGGCCCAGAGAACAAAGTAGCCTGAGGCCCTAGGGAGGAGAAGGAGGCCCTTCCAGAGCTTTGCCCTCCAGGCTCCTCTGTCCAAACCAATATGCGGGAGAGTCAGGGCAGGGACGCAGAGATGGCACCCGGAGGTCTGGCCTCATGGCCTCCAGACTGTGATGGGAGAATGTTACGCCCTCTACAGACACATGAGGATCAACACTCCCGGGTGAATTCAGCCAAGACACACCAACCTTTGCACACATGGGCCAACCCTTAGCTGCTTCTCCAGCAGATGTGTTTGCTCTGAACATCCCGTTCTCCCTGGTCATCTCTCCTGGCTCTATTACCACGATGCCTGTGCTCCACCCCCAGGGTGAGCAGCACACATCTGGGATGTAGATGGGCGGGATCCCCTCTTAAGAAGGGTGTAGAAATGTTCCCTGTGGATGGCCACCTGGCACTCCCCAGCATCTAACCGGGAACCCTGGCCATATTATACCAACTGTGGCTCGAGAAGCTCAGCTCCTGAAATTGTTACGCATCCCTGAGCCACGAGAGAATTCACAGTAGATAAATTAAAATCAGAGTCCACTACCTTCATGGCGCCCATAGCTTGGAAAGCCACAGCTAATCTCGAAGGGGTCAGTGCTGCCAGCATGGCACTGAATCTTGCGATCTTGTTCCTCATAGGGGAATGGTACTGTCCGTCTGGAGCCACGGAACCAAACCTGTGGAAAAGAGAGGGGGGGTTTCACAAAAAAGCAGGACATAGCACCACCAGAAATGACGTCAGGTGGCTCTCATGTGCACACGCAGGGAAGCACTCGGATTTCCCCATCGTGGAACTTCCCCCTTGAGACAGAGAGCAGATAAGGGCAGGGGGAGTCCCTCTCCAAGAGATGCTGAGAAAGGCTTGACTCAAGGGAGGTAGTGGTTTCCTGAGACATTAAACCAGCACCGGAGCCTGACTGTGCAGACCGCGCACTGACCCACTTTTTGAAAACTGAGATGTAATTCACATACCATAAAATGTATCCCTTCAAAGTGTACAATTCGATGGATTTGAGTATAGCCATGAAATTGTACAACCATCACCATGATCCTATTCCAAATCATCTCACCACCCCAAAAAGAAACCCCACGCCACTAGCAGTCCCTCCCCATACTCCCCTCCCTCCAGCCCCTGGTAACCATTCACCTACTTTCTCTCTCTATGGTGCCTGTGCTGGGAAAAAATTCACATAGATGGAATCATATCATATGTGGTCTTCATGTCTGGCTTCTCTCACTCACATGTTTTCAGGGTTCATCTGTGTTGTAGCATGTCAGTACTTCATTTCTTTTCATGGTTGTATAGTATTCCATTGTATGGATATACCACATTTTATTTCCTATTTCCTCAGTTGATGGATATTTGGATTATTTTCCCGTTTTTGCTATTGTGAATAATTATGCTACCGACATTTGTGTATAATTTCTGGTGTGGATATATGTTTGCAATTCTCTTGTGGACAATGTTTTCACACATACCTAGGAGTAGAATTGCTGGGTCATAAGATGATAACTTTACAGTTTTGAGGAATGGCTGAACTGTTTTCCTAGTTGGTGCCACCATTTTGCAGCCCTACCAGCAATGTATAACAAACAGTCCTAATTTCTCTACTTCCTCCCCAACACTTGTTATTGTCTGTCCCTTTAATAAGAGACATCAGCTGGGCATGGTGGCTTGTGCCTGTAATCCTAGCACTTTGGGAGGCTGAGGTGGGCGGATCATCTGAGGTCAGGAGTTCAAGACCAGCCTGGCCAACATGGCAAAACCCCATCTCTACTAAAAACACAAAAATGAGCCAGGCATGGTGGCGCATGCCTGTAATCCCAGGTACTCAGGAGGTTGAAGCAAAAGAATCACTTGAACCTGGGAGGCAGAGGTTGCAGACTGCCGAGATTACACCACTACACTCCAGCCTGGGCGACAGAGCAAGACTCCATCTCAAAAAAGAAAGAAAGAAAGAAAAAAAAAGACACCCTAGTAGGTGCAGAGTGGTATTCGCGGTGGTTTTGATTCGGATCTTCCTAATGGCAGTGATGTGGAGCATCTTTTCATATGCTTAGCAGCCATTTGTAAATCTTTAGCGAAATGTCTATTCAGATTTTTGCTCATTTTAAAATTGGGTTATTTGTCTTTTTATTCTTGAGTTGTAATAGTTCTTTCTATATTCTGGATACTATACCCTTGTGATATTAATATATATGATTTACAAATATTTTCTCCCACTCTGTAGGTTTTCACTTTATTCATAGTGTTCTTCGATGCAAAAAAAAAGTTTTTTACAGCTTTGATGAAGTCCAATTTATCTATTTTTTCTTTGGTTAGTTGTGCTTTTGGTGCCATGTCTAATAGATTGCTTAAACACAGGTCACAAAAATTCACACCTGTGTTTTCTTCTAAGTGTTGTGTAGTTTTAGCTCTTACATTTAGGTCTGCGATCCATTTTGAGTTGATTTTTGTATATGGTAGGAAGTAAAGGTCCAACTTCATGCTTTTGCACGTGGCTACCTAGTTTGTCCCAGCACCATTTGTCAAAAAGACTATTCTTTCCCCATTGAATTGTCTTGGCTCTGCAGTGGAACATTAATTGACTGCAACTGTAGGGATTTATTTCCAGACTCTTCATTCTATTCCATTGTACATATATCTATCCTTATGCAAATATCACACTGTCTTGATTACTTTATAGTAAGTTTTCAAATCACAGGTGTGAGTCCTCCTACTTTGTTCTTCTTTATCAAGATTGTTTTAGCTATCCTGAGTTTCTCGCATTTCCATATGAATGCTGGTGGTCCTAAAAGGGCCTGGGGGACTTTAGCACCCACCAGGATAACTGTGAAGATGCTTTTATTGCTTCCATTTTATTTCCTATCAATTCACAGGAGGAAAATGTTAAGCAGAATTTGGTCCACTTTAAGATTTTTTCTTTTTCTTGTTGCTTTATTTCGTGAATTGACATATAAAAACTGTATACATTGATGGAATACAGTGTGATGTTTTGATACATGTATATAGTGTATAATAATAAAATCAGGGTAATTGGCATATTCATCCTCTGAAGCATTTATCAATTTTTTGGAATGAGGGCATTTAAAACTTGTAACTATTTTGAAATATACAACACATTATTGTTAACGATATCACCCTGTACAATATCACACCAGAACTTATTTCTTCAGTTCAACTCTAACAGTATCCATTGACCAACTTCTCCCCATCCCCTCCTCCTCCCTACCTTTCCCAGCCCCTGGTAACCACTATTCTATCCTCTACTTCCTTATCCTTACATTTGTTTAACTTTTATTTTAAGTTCAAGGGTACAAGTACTGGTTTGTTACGTAGGTAAACTTATGTCATGGGGGTTTGTTGGACCAATCATTTTTAAGTTTTTTTCCCATACAATTTTCTTAAGCTTTTGGCATCCACTACACGTATCTGCTGGCAACAAAAAGGAGCAAAGCATTCAAGGGAAATCCATGGGGAGTCAGGAAGACAGCTGGTTGTGTGCACCCTGATTGCTGGCTTCGTCACAGATTTAACATGACTATGGCTCAAGATTTTTATTGGATGCATGAAATACTGCTGAGAAAATCAAAAGTACTTGGTGTTCCTCAGCTTCTGTGAAAAGCATCATTAACCCCTAGAGCTCCACCCCCAGAACACACCTGCAAGCTGAAAGATGGTGCCTTATCCCCTGCCACTCACAAAGGAAGCAATAGCACCCATCTGTTTATAATGGGGGGAGGGGAGGAAAAAACCTAAATGTCCAACAATAAGAAATTGATTATATAACTTATAAACCATTTATTTAACAGTCTATTATAATGATATTAAAGATGATAATGCATGTGAGTGCTTAGCATTACATAAAAGCATTTGCTATATAATGTTAAATGGAAAGGTTATTTTAAACACAGAATCTAGAAGTGGATCTCGTTTAGTAAAAATCTGACACCTTTCTCTCTTTAGACATATGGGCATAGAGAAAAGCCTGGAAAGACATATATTGAAGTGTAATGGTCATTACGTCTGGACAACAGCATGTTGAATAATTTTACTTTTTTTTTTTCTATCTGCAGATGTATCTTCTCCAATTAGTTGTCAACAAACCTGTAGGGGTAGTTAGGGGTAGACTGCCCAGACACACAGCCCACGAGACCCAAGAACCAAGCCAACTTTGGAGAGCAGTGAGGTTATCTGCACCATTGACCTGAGTAAAGGAGAAACTACTCACTTATCCAGCAGGTTCTCCCTGGGTATCCGAACCTTGTCAAATATTACCATCCCATTGTCCACACCATGCAGACCTCATAAGAATAGAAAGGGGGAATGGATGCAGCATCAGAAGTATTTTCCCTGCTACTTCCCAGGCCTGTTGCCACTAAAATACAAAGCCCCTTATTTTACTTCCAGAATTGTTGGTGCTTTTTCATTTGGGATGGACATGGGGATGCTGTCTGCTGTTTCCTTGATGAGCTGTACCTGTTTCTTCCACCAGCCTGGCCCCTTCCTCCCTAGCGAGAACGGAGGAGAATGGGCTTTCCTTCTGTGCAGCCTGCACGCTTTGGGCATGCAGTGGATGCACACCTACCTCCCGAGCAGTGACTGTGATTAAGAAAGGGAGAGTTCTGGCCGGGCGCGGTGGCTCAAGCCTGTAATCCCAGCACTTTGGGAGGCCAAGACAGGCGGATCACAAGGTCAGGAGATCGAGACCATCCTGGCTAACACAGTGCAACCCCTTCTCTACTAAAAAATACAAAAAACTAGCTGGGCAAGGTGGTGGGCGCCTGTAGTCCCAGCTACTCGGGAGGCTGAGGCAGGAGAATGGCCTGAACCCAGGAGGCGGAGCTTGCAGTGAGCTGAGATCCGGCCACTGCACTCCAGCCTGGGCGACAGAGCCAGACTCCGTCTCAAAAAAAAAAAAAAAAGGGAGAGAGAGTTCTAAGCAACTGCAAGAATGGGAAGCTGAAGACAGAGGCAGGGAAGCAGGCTTGCTCTCCCCAGGAATGCAGTGCTCAAATCCCTCCTCCTTCCCAGTGCTCTCTCCTCTGCACACAGAGCAAACTGTTGACAGCAAATGCCCACAAGACAAGGGAAAACAGCCACGAGGACAGCAGGAAATGGGGGAAGCAGTTGGTAGCGGGGAGGGGTGGTCCTGAAATCTGGCAGACACATTTCCTAAAGATATCTGCCAGAGTCTGGGGTCTTCTCTCTGTGAAAACTTAGAGAGATTTAATTTAGGGGAAAACAATCTGTCTTTAGTAAAGGTCTTTATTCAGAGCTTCACCCCTTGACAAGGACACACGTGCATTTAGCAGCTTACAAGGGCACCAGAGCAGACTCTCTGCCATTGCCAGCATTTTCAACGTCTGGCACGACTTCACAGAACTCAGCCTACCCTTCTGCTCTCAGCAATATTTGACATGCAAGGAACTTTCAAGGAGCCCAGCCCAGCCAGGGTCTCGGTCACCCCCAGGAGATACATCTAAAATCTCACAAACCCACCTGCAGCCATGCCTGCAGTCGTGGCAGTGGACAGTAAACACTAAGGGGCCAGGATGGACTGTCCCCTCCACCAAAGGATGGGCCACTTCTTCCCTCTTCTCTTACTGCTCTTCCTTCTTTTTTTTCCTTCTCTCCCAGTCTCCCTTCCTTGGCTTGGCATGACCTTGGCCATGAGCGGTCCCGGGAGCATACAGGCATGTCCTGATCTCACCAAATGTTATGGGTTAAATTGTGTCCCCCCAACCCCCGCAAAATTCATGTATTGAAGCCCTAATCCTTATACCTGTGTATGTGACCTTATTTGAAGATAGAGTCTTTACAGATGTGATCAAATTAAAATGAGGTCATTGGGGTAGGCTCTAATCTAAATGACTTCTGTCCTTTATAAGATGGGGTAATTTGGAGACAGGCATGCACACAGGGAGAACACCAGGTTAACATGAAGACAACCGTTTACAAGCCAAAGAGAGAGTCCTAGAACAAATCCTTCCCTCACTGCGTCTGGAGTTGGTTCCTGCTGGTGGATTCATGGTCTTGCTGACTTCAAGAATGAAGCCGTGGACCTTCGTGGTGAGTGTTACAGCCCTTAAAGGTGGCACGGACCCAAAGAGTGAGCAGCAGCAAGATTTATTGTGAACAGCCAAAGAACAAAGCTTCCACAGGGTGCAGCGGTTTGCCACTGCTGACTGGGGTTGCCAGCTTTTATTCCCTTATTTGTCCCCTCCCATGTTCTGTTTCTGTCCTATCAGAGTGCTCTTTTTTCAATCCTCCCCACGATTGGCTACTTTTAGATTGCTGCTGATTGGTGCATTTTAGAGAGCGCTGATTGGTGCATTTTACAGAGCACTGATTGGTACGTTTTAAAGAGCACTGATTGATTGGTGCATTTTACAATCCTCTTGCTACAGAGCACTGATTGCTGTGTTTTTACAGAGCACTGATTGGTGCATTTTACAATCCTCTTGCTAGCTACAGAGCACTGATTGGTGTGTTTTACAATCCCAGCTACAGAGTGCTGATTGGTGCATTTTAGAATCCTCTTGTAAGACAGAAAAGTCCTCCAAGTCCCCACTCAACCCAGGAAGTCCAGCTGGCTTCACCTCTCATCACCACTCTTAGAAGGAGCCAACCCTGCTGATACCTTCATCTTGGACTTCCAGCCTGCAGAACTGTGAGACAATACACTTCTGTTGCTTAAGCCCCACAGTTAGTGGTATGGCAGCCCTAGCAAACTAAGGCACTGAGTCAGTCCTCAGGACTCACTAAGGGCCTCATGAGCACAGACAGCAGGCAGGTGGCCAGGGGTGCAAAGAAGAGAGCCACAGCCTGCCCCGTGAGAGCCCCCAAGTCTGAGATGAGAGAAGACAGAATAACACTGTGGACAAAACTGCCTCGTTACTGGAAAATTTGAGAAGCTGGGAGAAACTGAGACCGATGCACGTTCATAAAAGGCAATCTACAACATTCCTGAACAGTTCTACATAAAAGACTTCATGAGGCTTGAAAATCCGGACATCTTCTCTGGGGAAGTTTTCTCCACCCTCACTGTTTCGGTAATGTAAGGTAGGTTACATTCGCCTTGAGTGGGGTGGGGAGCAGGTGGGAAGAGTAAGCACAGGAGAAGGGCACCTGGGGACTCACCCTCCTTGTACATCCTATCAATAGCTGTCACTCCTGGGTACAAGCTTCCATTTTCATCCCGGACAAGAACGATGAAACAGTGGGGCCCTAAGGAAGGCATCGAGATCATTATTATGCTCTCCTTCCTATAGCTTTACTTATTTCCTGGAATGGTATAACATTTCTGTGATTCTCAGACTCACTCAGTTCTACATCTGTGCACCACACATGAGAGCATATAATGTCAAAATGTAATGATAAATTTCTTCATGCATATTAGGAGATAAAGTTTTTACTGAATTACTTACAAGATAAAAGCAGCTCTGTGAAATGGGTTTTCACCAGTAAATAGTACTAATGAAGAGAATTATTCTAGTTGTCTGTGTTGGTAACAAACCTTGAGATCTTCCATCTACGATGAGCTGGGCAAAGACGGCTGCGTAATTCCCGTACATGGCATTTCCAATATACATCTTCTCGGCATTTTCACACGGTGTGTCAATTACAAACTCCTACACAGAAACAGCAGAGCAACAGTGTTTCCCTTCCCATGGCTCATTTCAGTTCCCTGGCTCAAGGCAATGAATACTGTGCAAACAGACCCACAAGGTGCAGGGTGCCGTTTCCAGGGGATTTCACAGCAGAAGAGAAGACAACCGGAAGGTCACCTGGCTCCATGTCTTGAAACCAACACGACTGTGCTATCACCTCAATTCACTTATTCCACCTCCACCTCAACTTTGAAAATGGCTGGAGATTAAAGTGATTTTTCAAGGAATAATCCAATCCAGAAAGTAAGTTGCCAATTTTCAATCTTTAAAAGGTGTTCGTTCTCTCCCTCCCAGTCTCTCCTCTTTATAATGCCGGGCTGACGTGTGTGCTGTTTGGCTGAGCCTGCCTGGCTTTAATGTATAAAGGCTTTCTTCAATTATCTCTCTAGACTACTTCATAGCAAAGTTTTGACCTTTCAATCATCCAACACCAAAACCTCCAAAAGCCCTGGTGGTATGTGCTCAGCTCTCCACACCCCTCACCTCCAAACAGCCCACCTGCAAGATTTCTAAGAAAGGATGGAGCATCCAATGATCTGGGCCCTTAGATGGCTTGTCTCAGGGTCCACATCTGAGAGTTGCATTTCATCTGCCGGTGTTCACTCCTTCTGGGCAAATCACTTGGTTCCTCACTGTTTCCCAGGCCCTGAACCTTCCTGCCTTCCACCAAACAAATGACGTCTTTGTTTAAAAGAAAGCCAAGTAATCGAAGGCCAAAACTGTATGCTTGGATAAAGCAACACCAATAGACAGCCACGACCTATCCCCACCGCTGCTTACAGTATCAGCCCAAACAATTTTTATTGTTATAAAAAGAAATCCCTCATTTAAGCTTTTGAAAATGTCTATTTTCCTGATTAACGAATATAATAATTAAAGTTTCCCAAAAGAGGTTCATATGTTCAAGCGCCTAAAACAGAAGAACTAGTAAATGAGAGTCTTTCCTAGGAGGGAAAAATCTTAGAATGTACCATGCAGTTTGTCTCTGAATATGTCCAAGGATTCCAGCTCAAAATAGTCTGAAACTAACACTGGTCATGAAGAAACAGGAAGAAAATGCAGGGGTTTTGTTCTCAGGCTCAACTCAAAACTCCGTCTTCTCTTTCCTTTTCTCTGGAAGCTGACATAAGGGTCACAATGGAAATGCTCCCCTCACTTCTTGGCTCTCCCCAATCTCTGTTGCCACCTGGGTTACCTTTAAGCCTCTTGCCAAAAAGCAACTGGCCCTGATGCCAGCTCTGAATACAGGGCACCTGGGGCAAGTTGGGAGCCCAGGGGAAATGGCAGAGAGTGGAACTGCACATTTAATTGGAGTTGACAATATTGAAGATGTGACTGAACTAAACCAACAAGCTATTGATCATGCAAAGATTGTCTCAGATTTCAGACTATAAAGTACATAGACAACGCTTTCCCGCTGGCCAAGAAATATAGTCTTGAAGCCTAAGAAAACATTCTCTGACAGATGTTTGCACAGGGAAACTTTTAACATGTGCGAGAGCTTTTCAGAAACATAAACGGACATGCTGGATCTTTTTAGGAGACGTCTCTGGAGGCCACCCTTGTCTTATCAGGGCAGCCAGGGCTTCTCAAGGAGAGGCATTACTTGAGGCTGAGTGCAGTGAAAAATAACAGCATAAAAATACAACCCATGTGGGTGGGGGCATGCTTACACCCAGGGTAAGAAAGTGAAGTGGCAGAGGAAACACTGGCCTGGCAGAAACCATCTGGTGGGATGGGGAAGGGAGAAGGAGGCCACTCGTCCCATAAACATTTGCTACGCTCTGGGAAAGGAGGTTTGTCACTTCTGGCAAAATGCTTGATTTGGAAAGTTTGCATCAGCCAAAACCCTGGCGTTAAAGCTGCATCTAAATAACGCACACCATGTGTGTCGGTTTCTGTAATAATTATCTGTTGAAGGCCAGCAAAATGGTTAGTGTTGTAGGCACTAAAAATGATGCCTTTGGCCAGAGAGTTCATAACCTCATTTATTTTTGCTATTTAGAATAAAGCATAAAAACAAAACTCTCTCTTATCTCTTAACTATCCATACCACTACCCAATCCACCTCCCAAAAATAAATGTGAAACAACCAACCCACAAGAATGAATAACCAAAACATGTAAGAGATTTAAATGGTCCTGGGGGACAGATCACTTATTTAATAAGCTCTAGCATTTTGAAAGGGAAATGAAGGGGAAAACACAGAACCCAATGAAGGCAGAAATCCATTCCTGCTATGTCAGTTCTCGGTGGTATGAGTTTATGATGGGATTGTTCTCTCTCCCAGCCCCACGGGAGATGGTGTTCACCAGAGGCCCCTCGTCATTATGATTGCAACTTTGCAGGTCCCCTGTCAGACAGTGGCAGCTGCTGAGGCATGCCAGGTAGCTAAGTCATTTATGCTGTTTGGGGAAAATGGGACCAACACAGGAAATTATTTTTGTAAAAAAGTAATAATTGTAAGAAGAAACAAGTAAATAAAAGCTGTGGGTGTTTTCCCCCATCAATGACAGCAAGGTGACCTCAATACCATGGCTTCAGGAGAGGAAAAAAATCGGCCAGCCAAAAGCCAGAGGATGTTATGTCGGCACGCCACCACTGGCAGAAAAGCCAAGCTACTGAGGGCAGTCCCAGCCGAACCTAACTCACCATTAACTGCATAGCCAGAGTCAGCTGCTTAACCTCTATGAGCCTCCATTTCCCCATCTCTAAAGTAGGGACAATAATGCCTTTTTATAAGATTACAGAACATTTGAAATGATGTTACAAGTAGACTGTTTAGCCTGGTACATGGCACATCCGTGCTCAGTTTACAGGACCAGTTTAATGATGCGTTTCTGGAACTGTTGCTGGGAGGAAACATAGAATAACTACACAGAGGGAGTTTGATACAGAGCATGGCACTTCGTAAGTGGTCAGTATAGGGTAGTGCTTATTCTTGTTCTTACTATGATCTTGGACATCACTGGCTGCTGGAGAGAACTAACATCGGGGCAGGAGGAAAAGCAGGGCATCCTCCAACATACCCCACCCCTGCATCTGTCATTCCAGACGCTGGCCACCTCCAACCAGCATTTCCGGGTCAGGAAACCCGCTAACAAAAATTCACACGCTCAAGGACAAACTGCAAAAATAAAGAACAGATGAAGCAGAGCAGCCACACGGCCAGGCGGCACCCGCAGCCACGCTCGGGCACGTGCTTGCACACACCGACTGACACAGCTTCATTTCTAGAAAGAACCTCAACATTTGTTTATCCCTTTGTAGTTCTTAGGAACACCCAATATCAAGCAAGAAACTAAAAAGGAGAGTGAGATAAGCACACAGTCACTTTCTTTTTTGGTGGGGAGCAGGGGCAGGTGTGTGTAGGAGTTAAAGAGATGGGAATGAGGGTTACAAAGCAGCGTCCCCAGGGTATGTTGTGACCCACTGTGGACAGAGCTAGCAATGTAGAGAGACTTAGCCAACATCTTTTTAATTAGCAAGAAGGGAATGGAAAGGAAGAAAAATAGAGAAGAAAAAGAAAGGAAAAGAAAGAGAAAGAATGAAAAGGAAAAACCTCAGCATTGACCACACATAGTAAAGGTAGAAGAGTCAGACTGTTTGGTAACACTCTTGTTTCTGTTGTCATGTAAAATGTCAATGCAGGTCACGGTGAGGGACAGCGCGTGATCCCAGTACAGAAGACTCAGCTTCTGATAAGGTGGCCCCAGCACAGTGCCCTCCTGACACAGGGCACAATGGAGAGGACCAACAAAGGCATCTCCTCCAGTCCTTTCCTGCTACTGATACCAACGAGAACAAAATGGCTTTAGTGTTGTTCTCTTGGAGTTATGACAAGGGATTACATTCACAAGTGCACACAAAGTGCTTGCAGCAGTGTTCAGTCTCAAAGGCACCATATAAATGTTGGCTGTGTTGGGTTCATGAAGGCTGAGCACATATCCACCTCTATTAAAACACTTAGACATTTGATCCGAATCTCAGCTCCTGGGGCCAGAGAGCACACACAGAGGGTGTGAAGCTGGACACAGAAAGAAGGAGATCTGGTTCTGTTCAGGTTTTCTGCTGCCCTGGACGGCAGAAGAAGGACAGATTCCTCACCTGGGCAGAGAGGTCAACGGTGGCTTCGGTCTGGATCCCTCTCACATTGCTCCCATGGCCCCTCTCGGTCATTGCAAACATCCCAGTGTATTTCTGCTCCTGGAGTTTAACCAGACGTTAGAAGGGAATTAGCTGGTCAGGCAGCTGCTCCAAATGCAGACCCCTTGGGCCATTAAGAAAGGTGGTGAGAGAGGGACAGGTGTGTTGGAGAAAACTATAAAAATGCAGTCTGATGACAGCAAACGTGAGCTTAACAACATGACAGGCTCAACGCAATATAAAAAAGATAGTCTCAGAATTCTCACTGTCAACAAGATTTTTGCTGACACAAATTCTGTTTTATTTTATTTTTCTTCAAAAACACACACACACACACACACACACACACATGCATATCTATCTACTACAGATTTTTAAGGCTCTCCATAGAAGACCGATATTGAGGAAAATACCATACCTGGAGAGGCTAAAACCACTTAGTAACATGTTCAGGGCTTCCGACATTCCTGATAGCACCACCAAATAGCCAATAAACTATTCCACACTGGAAACAAGGACAATACAAACCATCATTAGCAATAGTCAGTAATCTAAAGACAATTCAATCCACGGCCAAACTCCAATTAGGGAGCAGCTCTTCAGCCCCCTGTGCTTTACCTAAGCCCTGCAAGTGGCCTGCTTCTTTGCCCTTCCTCTTCACTGCCTGGTGAGCTCCAGTTTCTCTCTACAGACATGGCTCATGAGTCACTCAGGACCGACACAGAAAGTCAGTCCTCCATCCTCAGGCCTCCCAGATCCCCCCCCATCAAATGAATGCTCCGAACACTCATTCTGCTTTGTCCTCTCAGGATCTAGCTGAGGGCCTGATGCAGAAGACATGTAACAAAGTGCGTGTGCAATGACCCTCGATGCTGACCCCTGTCTGCGGAGGTGAGTCTGCCATGAGAAACAGTGTTTCCTTACAGGAAGGTGGATGGAAGAGGCAATGCTGCAAAACGAGCAAGCATGCAGCTTGGGATGAGCGCCCTGGGTTTCCATCCCAGTTCAGCTACCCACTGGCTGCAGGATCTCGGACAAATGACATAGTAGTCTCAGCTTCCTCATCTGATAAATGAATGATGTGAGTACCCACTTACTGAGCTACTGAGCTTATAAGCTCATTGACTCTCACAACAACCCTGGAGAGAAAGCATCATCATCCCCATTTAACACCAGAAACTGGGATTCACAGAGGGAAAGTGTCTCACCCAACGCCACATCCTCAGAAAGTGGGAAGGGCTGAGGCTGAAACCCAAGCTACCCAATGCCTTATAGTACTTCATATGGTGGCCATCAGGATTCAGTGAGAGTCAACTGCCAAGCCCTTTGCTTGGTCTTTTGTGGGGTTTTGGTTTTTGTTTCTGTTTGTTTTTAAGAGACAGGATCTCACTCTTTCAGCCAGGCTGGAAGGCAGTGGCATGATCATAGTTCACTGCATTGTCAAACTCTCAGGCTCAAGCGATCCTCCTGCCTCAGCCTCCTGAGTAGCTGGGATTAGGGACTACAGGCACACACTACCACACCTGGCTAACTTTTTTTTATTTTTAGTAGAGATGAAGTCTTGCTATATTGCCCAGGTTGGTCTCAAACTACTGATCTCAAACAATCCTCCCACCTTGGCCTCCTGAAGTGCTGGGATTACAGGCATGAGCCACCATGCCCAGGCTGCCTGGTCTTTTGTAAACCCTGGAAAAGTGTCACTGACAAAGAGAAGGAGGAAGAAAAAGAGGATGAGGATAAGAAGGAGAAGGAGAAGAAACAGGAAGAGGCAGAGTGGCTTGAGCAGGGTCGTTTGGAAGGAGCAGGGTGACTGACTGCGAAGACAAAAGAACTTGAATGTAGGGATATTTGCTGTGTCTGCAGGTCAGAGTTCCTTCCCCCTCCTAGCTATACAACCCCAATTTTCATCTGGGGAGCCCTCCTCCCCTAGAATCTGTCCAAGTGGTTTGTGGGTGATGTTGACCCCACCCCCAGCTTTAGGATGAGTTGGGAGCCCAGGACTGGCTGATCTGGCCAGACATGGCTCTCAGGATGGATTCACGATCTGGGTGGGTCCATTTGGAGTGGAAGCCAGGACACAAGGCTGAGCTATTGTGGAAGAGAAGCCCTCTTTTGTGATGCTATGGAATCTGGAGGGATGGAAGCCTGGGGCCGTATAGCCACGAGCTAGGGAATGAAGCCAAAGTATGAGGACCAGGTTAGGGGAAGGAGGCAGAATTGAGAGATGGGAGAGACCAGGTCATGCACACCCAGACCTGAAGCCTGGTACACCCTGGACTCCTGACTTACAGGAGTAAAAGCAGCCAATACGTGCCTTTTTTGCTTAGGCAAGGTTAGCGTGGACTTTTTTCCTGGGGTCACTGCATCTGGATGAGCTCTCTGTTCATACCCCATGTGTATGAACAACCCGGTATTAATTTTGTGAAACGGTACTGGATCAACTCTAGCAGCTCAGACCAGTTAACACGCTCTGGCATCAGGACAGACGAATTTCACTAATCACATCTGACATGTGAAGTGCTTTTCATTTGGAGAATCATAAAATATCCTGGGAAGATGACTCACACCCCGATGACTCAGCTCACTTCTCTACAGAATCATCGCGGGCACTGCAAATTGCATTACTAATTCCAGCATGGGAAATGGAAGCAACCCAAATGGTACATGTTTTTTCCCTAAACCATCCTGGGAGTTAAGTTTTAAAAAAATATTTTTCTAAAACTAAAACAAGTTAGGTTTTCCACCTCTAAATCTCTTTGGCTGGTGCCTAATGCACTCTTGACAATATATTCCTCTTCTAGGTTTTAAATCCTTTCCTCCTCTTTAGGAAGAGGCAAAAAAAAAAAAAAAAAAAAAAAAAAAACTAGAGCATTTTATCCACATTTTGAAAGCCCCATTCACTAAATGTCTTAGCAGCACCCTAGGCTGTGGAAGTGAACCTGTAAGTTTGCAGGAAACGGCAGCCGTTGACAGAGGCAGTGACTGCGTGACCTCAATCCACACAGTCAGGTGAGGTGTGGGGTTCATTTCCCACAAAAGTCACATTCTCTGAATGGCAGCTAATCCAACCAAGCTGGGCCAAATGCAGGTGGAGCTCCTGGGGATTGGAAGTGGAGGGCTCCCTGGCCTGACATGCTTTCAGCAGCTGCCTTCTGGGAGGGGCATGGGCCCCAGCCCACAGGCCAGGAAGGAGGCAAACAGGGAAGCGGGGAAGTAGAGGGATTCAGGGTAGATTCTGGAGACAGAGTTGATGGGATGGATTTGGGAGGAGAAGGAAAGAGAGGACTCCGGGAGACACCTGGGTCTGTGGCCTGAGTTTCCGGGAGGATGGAGACCCATTGATTGCAGTACAGCAGCTTGGAGGAGGGGCTGAGAGGAGCCAGAAGGAGGGTATGGACTCCTTAAAACAGAAATGCTGAGGCTGATGGGAGGTAGGCATCAACCCATCACGTGGGAGTGTCGTAGAGTGTCCTCCGAGAGGACACTGTGGCACTCCTGTCAGACTCCCCAGCGTCCTGGCAGACCTCAGGGAACAGGACACAGAGAGGACCATTTGCTCTGAGACAGACTGCAAAAAGCAGTGGTAAGAGGGAAAAAGTAGAGTTGGCTGGGGGACACCCAATGAAAACTCGAACTTCAAACATGCACCCACCTTGTTTGAGAAAGCCTCCTCTCTCTTTTCTCACTTATCAGGAGAAGAAAAGGGACAGCCATGACATCGAGCACATGAGGTAATGATCACAACATGCCCAATGAGGGCCAGCAGCAGCCTCCAGAGGCCACAGTGTGAGACAGCTGAGGAGTGGGAGGTGCAGCCAGGACAGGTCACAGGGGCTAAAGGATGGGGCTATGGCAGGGCTTCCTAGCTTCTAAATAAAGACTAAAAGGAGACATCCTGAAGTGGAAGGGAAATCTGGTGTGTTACAGCTGAGAAGGCAGGCTGGTATCACCTCAACCTACCAATGAAGCCAATACCTGGAAGACCGTGGAGTTGGGCCCCCAGCCATGTCCCAGGAGGTTACAGTCCCCACCACTTATGGAGGCTCCTGCTACCTACCAGGCTTGGCACGGAGATCCTTGCAGGCATTACTGATTTAAATCTACACATAGCCTGTGAATGGGCATTAGCAATGCCATCTTTACAGAAGAGAAAGCTAAGGTACATACGTACAAAGGAACATCCCAAAAGTGTGGCTGGGAAGTCCTAGAAGCAGAATGTGCAACTGTGTTGTTCTGAGTGTGCCCCTGCCCCAATGGACCAGTGAGGTCTGTCCCGTGGGCAGGAAGCCTCCTGGCTTCCCAGCTGCAATAGGCCAGGCTGTTCCTATACTACAGCCCAACAAGGGTCTCCTAAAGAGACTTCGAGTGTATTCAGGATCTCCTAATTCCAAGAGCAAATTTCCACAAATGGAAAACTGGAAGTGTTTTTTGAGACAATGGGGACTCCAGAAATGGACTGAATTTTGTCCTTGCAAAATTAACATGTTGAAGCCCTACCCTCTATGTGATGGTATTGGGAGATGGAAACTTTGGGCAATGAATGATCAAGGTTAGATGAGCTCATGAGAGTAGGACTCCCATAATGGGATTGGTGCCCTTACAGAAGAGGAAAAAAGAGCAGCACCTCTCTCCACCAATGAGGACACAATGAGAAGGTGGCTGTCTGCAAGCTAGGAAAAGAGCCCTCACCAGGACCTGACCATGCTGGCACCATGATCTTAGACTTTACAGCCTCCAGAAAGGTGGGAAAATAAATTTCTGCTGTTGAACTCATCCAGCCCATGGTATTTTGTTATAGCAGTCCAAGCAGGCTATGACAGATAATAGGATGGTTCAAATAAGGGAAAACAGAACAGCCATGGAGAAGCAGAAAAGGAAGCATGTCTCATTTCTTTCAGCTTCAGTTAGAATCCTTCCAGATTGCACCCATGTTTTTGGCAGGAAACTTGGGCTGGCTCACAAGCTAGAGTGGGGCTTCAAAGCACCAACAAAGACAATCTTTTTCCCTGCCATTTTGTTAGTGTGCCCACCCCTTTCGCTGTGAGCCACTCTCAGAGCCAGCCCACAGTCCTGCCAGTACCTGGCTGTGCGAGTACAAATGAGTTTGTCCAAGGTGTTCAGGGAAATGCAAAGCCACTGGATAAACAGACCTGGAGAGAGAGAGAGAGAAAAGGGACTTGAACATGCAGGGCACAGCTGATGCTGATGAATTGATGCTGGCGCCCCTTCCTCAGGTTGACAACCAGCGCCTGTGAAACGCAGGGACCACCAGTGGCTCTTGAGCTGGCAGGGGGATCTGGGGAACCCCCGACTGATCCAGAGCTCACAGGAACTGTTCCCAGCACGCCACATGCCCTCCTGGCATCTCCTCTACCACCAATAGAAAAGAGCCATGGTCCTCCTGGTCAGGACTTGGGGGCTGCGCAATCTATAGGTTCCTCTAATTGTCTCGGATTTCCAAGCTCCAGGAAAAAACAAATCTCCCACAATTACTGATGTGTGGGACAGCATACTTAATAATATTTTTAATTGTCATTTTTATTTGTGGTAAAATATATATAGCATACAGTTTGCCATTTTAGCCACTTTCAAGCATACAATTCAGTGGCATGAGGTACAGTCACAACGTTGTACAACCATCACCACTATTTCCAAAACTTTTTCATCATCCCAAACAAAAACTCTGTACACTAAGCAATAACTCCCATTCTCCCCTCCCTCCAACCTCTCGTTACCTCGAACCTACCTTCTGTCTTTACGGATTTGTCTATTCTAGACATTTTATATAAGCAGACTCACATAATATTTGTCCTTTTATGTCTGACTTATTTCACTTAATAATTTCAAGGTTCATCCACATTGTGGCATGTGGCGGAACTTCATTCTTTTTTTCGGCTGAACAATATTCCATTTGTTTGTGTGTCTATACCACATTTTGTTTACCCACTCCGCTGTTGATGGAAATGTGGCTTGTTTCCAGTTTTAGCTATTGTGAATCATGTGCAATGAACATTGGCATGTTCCAGCTTTTAGCTATTGTGAATCATGTGCAATGAACATTGGCACACAAGTACTGTTTCAGTCCCTACTTTCGATTATTTGGGGTATATATCCAGTTAGTGGAATGCTGGGCTGTATGGTAATTTTTATGTCCTACTTTTTGAGAAAAAACCATATCGTTTTGACTTTATATATTTACTTAATACTCAAGTATTGACACCTATTATGTACCAAGAATGAAAAGGTTATAGTTTTCAAGGAGTTTTCCCTCTCTTGGTAGTGAGAGCCATAAAGTAATTCCATGAGTAAATACATAGATTCAAAATGGGTGCACGTTATGGCAGAAAACTATAAGAAGCAAAGACAGGTGACAGCGAGTGGATGGGACTCAAGTTCAAGGCTTGAGAGGGGCATCCCTCTGGGAAGGACACATTAGCTGGGGCATGAAGAATGAATAGGTGTCAGCCAGGAGAAGGACAGGAAAGACCAAGCTAGGGCTGGGAGCAAGTGGTCCAAAGGTGGGTAAAAGGAACCAGGAAAAGGGGAGAGTGGAACAGACGTGACCAGGGCCACACTTGCAAAGACCCATGGGCAACATCAAGGATTAGACGATGTTTCTAAAGCATAATGGGAGGGAAGAGGTTTTAAGCAGGAGAGTGGAGTGATCAGAGAAGTATTTCTTATTTTTCTGAGACGGAGTCTGGCTCTGTCACCCAGGCTGGAGTGCAGTGGTGCAATCTCGGCTCACTGCAAACTCTGCCTCCTGGGTCCACGTCATTCTCCTGCCTCAGCCTCCCAAGTAGCTAGGAGTACAGGCACCCACCACCACGCCTGGCTAATTTTTTGTATTTTTAGTGGAGTGGAGGTTTCACCATGTTAGCCAGAATGGTCTCGATCTCCTGACCTCGTGATCCACCCACCTCAGTCTCCCAAAGTGCTGGGATTACAGGTGTGAGCCACCGCACCCGGCCTCAGAGACATAATTCAAAGGACTTTTTAAGTCCTTGCCAGTTTCCTTCTAGGATACTCAGGAGTTTTCAAAAATTTCATTATGGAAATATTCAAACAAAATAGAAGCATCTAATGAACTCAAGGATGGCCAGTTCATGGTCCATTTTCCTTCATCTCCCTCCCTCCGCCACCCCTACATACTTTCCCTTCCTATACCCCAGGTTATCTTGACGTTTATCCCTGACATCATATATCATGTCTTCCCTGAATATTTCCAATACATATGTAAAAGATTCAGATTCTTTTTAAAACATAGCCCTAAAACCATTATCCCACCTAAAAATATAATGATCATTCTCTAATATCGTCAAACGTCCAATGCTCAGGTTTCCCCAACTGACACATAATTTTTCATTACAAATAGTTTGTTGTTTGAACCAGGATGTCAATAAGACACATGCACATTGCAATTGGTTAAAATGCTTCTTAAGTCTGCTTTATGCCACAGGCTGCCCCTTCCCTCATTCATTCAGACGATCCCTGTGAAACTCCACGGACTAGGCTCAGTGCAAGACCCTGGAGACCAGAGGAGAGGGCTCCCCACCCAGAGAGCTGCCACCACCTGTGGAGCTGTCCTCATGGTCACAATCCATGGAGGCTTGCTGAAGACAAAGTAGATGGCAGAGTAGGGTGGGGGTGCAATATGGTAAAAGCACAAACTGGGGATCATGAGAGTCTGGACCAGGATCCTCTGATATTTCTGAGAGGGGATTTATCTATTTATCTGTTGCATCTCAGCTAACTGCTCTCTCTGAAAGCCACAGTCAACCCATCCAAGAGGGAGGAGATCGTGCCTGGCTGAAATCATAGTGGGCCCAGTCTTCCTGGAAAAACCTGATGGTGGACACCCTCACGACAAGATGGCACTCACAGATTTCTTTGGTTTTGATTCCTACCTACCAATAAACAATGTTCACACCAAACTGAAATCACCACCATATTGGACTCACTGCCAACTAACCTGGCTTCTTGTCTGATCATTCTGTCTTCATGTTCTAGTGGTAATTTCTCCTCTTTGGGGACATCAGGACTGGGTGTTTGGATATGAGGAATTATTTTGAGACCCAGTGGTGTTCAGGGAGGAAAAGGAGGGCCCCATGAAGGACTCTCTGCTGGAAGGCTTGGGCAGCATGAGGGGCTGCAGCAAACATGCCCACCTGAGCTATTCTGTTCGCCTTCCTTGGTAAGCTGGAACATGCAAGATAATTGTCTTCCCTCAAGACAATAAGATGCCATTTTATAACCATTTACAAAAAAAAAAATGGAGAAATCTAAGAATTCCAAGTATGGGAGAGGACATGGATCCACAGGATCCGATTACATGCTGTTGGTGGGAATGTGAATTGATGCACTAACTTTGGAGAATAGATTAACACTACTCTTTAAAGTTAAGCATTCATTCATCCTGTAACTAGCAATTCCATTCCTAGTTGAATACCTAAGTGAAGATTTTACCCATGTTCAACACCCAGACGTGGACAACAGTATTCACAGCAGCACTTTTTACATTAGCAAAATTCCGGAAACAACATGAGAAAGTGGCTGAATAAATGCTGCGGTATATTCACACAAAGGAATATTATACAGTGGTCAAAAATGAACAATCTTCCATTGCTATGTCATTCCCCAAATGGCAAAACTATAGAGATGGAGAACAGATTAGTGGTTGCCGAAGGACAGGGGTGGAGTGGAGGCCAAATGAACTATAAAGGGGTAGCACCTGGAAGTTTCTTTCTGATGACGGAACAGTTCTCTATCTTGATTGTGGTGGTGGTTACATGAATCTACATATAGCATCGAACTGAATAAAACTACACACACACACACACACACACACACACACACACACACAACTGAGTACATGTAAAAACCACTGAAATCTGAACAAGGTCTATGTCCTATTTAACAATGCTGTACTAACATTGATTTTCTGATTGTACATTGCATTACTGCTATATAAGATGTCACCATGACTAAAGGGTTCTCATGACCGCCATGGAGAGAACTTCTCCTAGGACGAGGCTTCGGCTGACAAAATTCTTTGTTTTTCTCTGCCTGAAAACGTGACAGACTCAGTATCAAGGTTTCCTTATGGTTTTCTGACTTGTTCAATTCACAGTTTTTATAACAAATGCATGTTACTTTCATAATAAAAAATAAACACAATAAAAGCAATTTTTAAATTAAGAAACAACTCCATCATTCTACTAAAGTAAACATTTTCATCTTTTTTTTTTTTTAATGTGGCTTTCTGGTCTCTTAGTGTTAAAGACTCTTCTTATACAATAGTCAACTGCATCCACATGGAGGCCAGCCTGCGACCCTGCAACCGACTCGCCTCGTGCCTTGCTTTGCCTTCTCCAGGTTTGTCCCTCCCAGCTCCTGGTGTTCCCCTTACAGGCTGGCACCCCCACGGTTCTGCCCAGCTCCTCCAATGTGTGCCACAGCCTGCAGTCTCTCTGCATTGATGCCCCAACCAACAGAGAATGTCTGGGTGGAGCTCTGTCGACAATCTTTTGTTGTTTTGTTTGTTTTGTAGAGACAGGGTCTCGCTATGTTGCCCAGGCTGTACATGAACTTCTGTGCTCAAACGATCATCGTGACTCAGCCCTCCAAGAAACTGGGACTACAGGCATGTGCCACGGCACCCAGCTTCAGTGACAATCTTGATGTGAGAGTGGAGGATTGGGAAGTGTGAGAGCATTCTGGACACAGGAAAAGCAGTATGTCTACTTTGTAACTATAGACCATCTCAGGGCTTTGATGATTTAAAAATCATGGGGTCCCAATCCCCTCTCCTCACTCACTGTACACAACAGCAACAAATCCCAAGGCTATATGAACACACTCTTCTCCACCAGTGATAAATGAGGCATGTCAGAAACACTGTACAGGTTTCATTTTAAAAATTCAGAGGCAGCCAGCATTTCCTTAGAAGGTGGTGGGCCCTTGAGTGGACAAAGTGCAGTTGTCCGTTGTTGAAATCAGTGCCAGTTGTCCTTGCTTGCCAGTCTCTTCTGAGATCCAACCAAAAAAAGGTGCTTGTTACCCATGTGTGTATGTGTATGTACGTGTGTGTGTGTCTGTGTGCACATGTGTCCATGTATGCATGTATCTATATGTGTGTGTGCATCTGTATGCACATGTGTGTGTGTGCGAGTATGTGTGTGTATACACTGCTCTACCAGCAGCAGGATGATAACTAACTTTCCTTGAATGACTCTCGGTTTCCACATTGGCTAAAGCTCTCACCCCAAACACACTCTAGATTTTTCCCTCTCAAAAGTTTTTGCAATGTTTCTCTCAAGCATTATTTGATCAAACAGTAGGCTGTGTATGTGTGTGTGTGAGTGTGAGTGTGTGTGTATACACTGCTCTACCAGTAGTAGGATGATAACTAACCTTCCTTGAATGACTCTCAGTTTCCATACTGGCTAAAGCTCTCACCCCAAACACACTCTAGATTTTCCCCTCCCATAGATTTTTACAATGTTTCTCTCAATCGTTATTAATTTGCTCCAACAGCAGGCTGTCAAGATTTATTACTCTTACCATGGCTCCAACCCAATGCATCTTGTATTGATTATTTCCTAAAATATCTCCAGGCTTGAGTATATAAACCACTGCGTGACTCCAGCTTCAGTTCACACTGCTGAAGTTATTACCAACAAATAATAAAGGACAACTAAAGCAGACATTTGCAGACTTTTTTAGAGGGCCCAAGTGTCCTTTGTTGCAAAGATCCTCACAACATTCCTACACAGGAGGCTAACAGGACAGGAAAGACTGACCCCATGTAACAGATAGGAAATCCCAGGCTCAGGGAGGCCAAATGACTTGTCCCACGAGAGTCACCTGGTAAGCGGAGAGCAGTATCCTGTATCAGAATCCGAAGCTTCAGGTTTCTCATCTGGATGTCTTGCCACCGGCCCTCCCTGCTCCTCATTATTAAGCCAGAGGAAGTCTTGGGACTCTGAGTGACCCAGCCTTCCTCATCGGTCCACCCCTATTTTTCACCACCAGCCTTGTTCCCAGAAAGCACCTGACATCAACCTGTCTTGGGCCCCCAGTTCATCTTCCTGAGAGTCACCCTCTCTGGAATCATCACAACAAACCCTTCCTCGTCACCAGCTCTGTTTTAGCCAAACTGAAATCATCAGGAGTAAGCACAGCCCCCTGAATTTCCAACTATTCATAGCTTTCTTCATATTTCATTCTCTTCACGTACACTGTCAATGCAGGAGTATGACTTTGCCCTTAATAGTGTCCAACTGCAGTCACTTTTACTCACCACTTTGAAATAAATTGCAAGGACATTCACTGAAGAATCAACTCGAAATTTAGCCATCCTAGAGCATTATAAATTGTCTTGACAATTACTTCCCTTCTCTTGTCTCTGCAGGAGATAGTGATCTTTGCTATTAGATCTGATGGGAAATGACAATAGGAGTTTGCCATTAATTCTCTGACGTTGATTTAAGCATATATTTGTACTCATCCATCTCCAGATGCCAAACCAAAGTTCCAGAACTGAGAACAGGCTTAATAAGAATGACTGCCTTACTGGTATACATTTTAACATCTTCTTCACACATAAATTCCCTATTTTCTTCAACTCTTATTTTATTCCTGATTAATTGTTCTTAATTAAAGAATGTCTAATATTGACAAGTTTCACCTCTCATTAAAATGGCAGCACTAACTGAATGGTCTATGATGATAATGATCAATCAATAGTTATACTAACTGAATGGTCTATGATGATAATGACCAATCAACAATTATGTGCTTTTCTACATTCATCTTTGCAGCAATTCTACTGTATCAATAACTGCCTTCATTTACACTTAATATATTCAAACCAAATGCAATCTCCATAGTAGCATGTAAGTTTTTAGTGATTTTAAATAATAATTCCATAAATGTATGAATACTATACCAAGCTTATAGTTTATCCTAAATTACAGCCCATGCTATTCACATGCATACTTAATAAATTCAGCCTCAGAGGAAAATAGCTTTTCTTAAAATACTCCCCTTTCTTTGTAGAGCACTTGATGTAACAGATCATTGTGATGTAATAATCTGCTATAAACTCTGAAAAAATGTATGTTTTTATATTTTTACATCTGAGCTGTCTTTCCTCTGATGTTAGCCCACACGGCCTCCTTTGCCAGCTCTAAGCACGACTCTCACCTCCTGGGCTAACCAGCCCTGGCCTTCCCTCCAAAAGACCCCATGTCTGGCCACTTCTTTTTTTTTATTTTTTTATTTTTTTATTTTTATTTTTGTATTTATTTTTTTGAGATGGAGTCTCATTCTGTCACCCAGGATGGAGTGCAGTGGCGCGATCTTGGCTCACTGCAACCTCAGCCTCCCAGGGTCAAGCAATTCTCCTACCTCAGCTTCTCAACTAGCTGGGATTACAGGCACATGCCACCACGCCTGGCTAATTTGTTTGTATTTTTAGTAGAGATGGTGTTTCACCATGCTGGCCAGTCTGGTGTCGAATTCCTGACCTCATGATCTGCCCGCCTCTACCTCCCAAAGTGCTGGGATTACAGGCGTGAACCACTGCACCTAGCCAAGTCTGGCCACTTTTTACATCTCTTCAACACACTCTTGTGCCCTGGACTATAGTAACAGCCTCTTGACTGGCCTCCTGTGTCCACCCTGCCCCAAACATCAGCCACTATGAGCTTTTTATTATCAGTTATTATTAAGGTAAAATTTACAGCCAGTGAAATGCACAGAGCTTAAGCACATGAGTTAAGTTCAATTATTTACCTGTGTAACCATCACATCAATCAAGAGCACAGGGCATTCCCTTCCCCCAGCAGGCATCCCCATGCCCCTCTGCAGTTAGTACCCACCTTCACAGGCAACCACTGTTCTCTTTTGTTTCTTTGTTTCTTAGAGATGGAGTCTTACTTCATAGCTCAGGCTGGAATGCAGTGGTGTGATCGTAGCTCACTGTAGCCTCAAACTCCTGGGCTCAAGGGATCCTCCTGCCTCAGTCTCTTGAGTAGCTGGGATGACAGGTCTGCCATCACAGACAGCTAATTTTTTTTTTCTGGAGACAAAGGTCTCACTGTGTTGCCCAGGATGGTCTTAAATTCCTAGTATCAAGCAATCCTCCTGCCTCAGCCTCTCAAAGTGCTGTGATTACAGGCATGAGCCACTATCGCCCCCAGCCTCACACTTCTTTTTGTATTACCACCCACTAGTTTGGCTTGTTCTTGAAGTTACACAAGCAGGAAACAGTATATGCTCTTCAGGGTCTGCCTTCTTCCATGCAAAAGAGGTATCTGTGTTAAACTAAGGATATCCATAGTTCATTATCTGAATGGTTTCCATCTATGAATAGTTCATAATTTGTCTAAACGAAACTCTTTAGTGAACATTTGGCTGGCTTCCAGTTTCAGGCTCTTATGAACAAAGTTGACATAAACATTTGTGTACAAATCTTTCGGGACATGTGTCTGTTTCTCTTTTGTAAATCCTTATGAATGCAGCTGCGGGGTTAAAGTGTAGGTTTAGTTTTATAAGGAACAGCCAAACAGTTTTTGAAAATGGGTGTACCATTTTACACTCCTCCCAACAATGAATGAGAGTTCCAGTTTCTCCATATCCTACCAGCATTGTCAGTCTTGTTCAAATTTAGCTATTCTGGAGGGAGTATAATGTTATCTCACTATAGCTTCAAGATGTATTTCTCAGATGACTAGAGATACGAGCATATTTTCATATGCTTAACAGCCATTTGTAAGTGTTCATGTCTTTTGCCACATTTTAAAAATTGGACTGTTTGTCTTTTTATCACCAAGTTCTAGGGATTTTTATATAGTACGGGCACAAATCCTTTATATCTGGACACAAGTTTTTGTCAGATAAATGCATTACAGGTTTTTTCCTACTTTGTACGTTGCCTTTTTATTCTCTTAATGGTGTCTTTTGATGAACAGCAGTTTTTAATTTTAATGTAGACAGTTCATTAACATACTTTCTTTTACATATTCAAGTGATTTTTGAGTCTCCTCTAAGAACCC